GCAGTGGGACGTCCTTCTCACCGCGCGCGCTTTACTCGCGCGGATTCGCTGATCTTTTTCGTTAATTACTCAGTACTTATTATGAAAATTAAAAATGGTAAAGGACTTTTCTACTCGATTTGACCTTCTCTACCTGTATATGACCGGTGGGGCGATTATTGCCAGACACCCTGTATATTTTTCTTCAATGTGTCTATATTAATATCTGTTCGATTTAAATCAACTAAGAAAGCGGCGCGCTGCGGCGGTACTAACGCATGCGCATTGTAAACATTTGGAAGTCTTTAGCTATCTCTCTCGCACAGATGCTTGCTTCAGGCTCGGTGTGTAAGCAATATAGGCAATTCCTCTTCCATTTATATATGTTCTAAGGTTCGACCTTTCGGTCGACACAACGTACGATAAATGTTAAGAATCAAGCGTTTCTAATCGAGTAAGGCGAGTCGCGCTAGAATATTAAACATCACGCGTTCGAGACCTGCTTTTTGCAACTTTTTTCCGCATTTCCGCTTTTTTTTTACCGTGCACAATCAAATAAATAATTAGATAATGTTTTTTTGCTAAAAAGTATTATTTTATATTTATTAAAAATATTTGCATATGTTAAATCAGTGCTCGGAATTAGTCTGAACATTTCAGCCGATTTCCATGATATACGCCTCCTTTCCTCTCCTTACCGCGCGCGCCGCAGCCGCTAGGGCCAGCGCCGCCGAGCGTTAGGAGCGGCACTATCCGATTATGAGTGGGTTCTTCTCCCTATTTATTAAAATATAAAAAAATTTATTAAAATTTATTTTATAATATAAGATAGATGCAAGGTGTAAGGATGAAAAAAGGTCTTATGAACGTGGCTCCGGAAATGCTTCCTTTCCAAGTTATAAACGCTTCTTATTTAATAAAATTTCTGTTAACGTAGAACGCATGTTAAAAATAATTCACAATATTGTATTAACAATTGAGGGCCCGGATCAAAGAACTCGCCCAACTCGCTCGAAATCCTGTAAAAGTATTGTCTCAGAGCATTAAAATTTTGAAAGTCGCAAAATTAATTTTTTTTAAATATAGGCTTATAGAGAATGACGAGACGGAACTTTTTTCTATTTGCAGTTTTTTTGTTCAATGCTTATTTTTAATAATAAAAATAAAAAACTGAAAAACTTTTGTCCCCAAATTCAATAAGATTTTAAGATATAAATCGTCATAATTTGGCCAAATTTTGTTGAAATTGTTTGAAA